TCTTATTAATTATAAGTCCTAGGTTATAGGTTGTATTGTTTTCTATTATATCCTTCTGTAGACTTAGGTTGTTAAGGTTTATTTCCTTAGGCACGCTGTGTACTTTAATAAGCACTATAGGCGTGCGTATAGTAGCAGAAGAGCCTAGAATAAGAACCTAATCCTTTTTCTTTAGAAGGGCGTTTTTTAATAGCTTATTTATAATAATTGCCTTAATATCACCACTTTATAGCTTTCTAATACTACTAATCTTTATAGTTTCCGGCTCTCCCGCCGCTTATAGCTTTTTTATAATATAGTTGTTCGTGTATATCGCGTTAGCCGCTTGCTGGGCGTTGTTTTTAATATAGATGTTGATTTTATAAAGGTTATTTATTGTATCCTGTCTAATTCTTATATCCTGTCCAATTTATATAGCTTGCCCGATTTGTATTACTATTAGGGCCTTCGCTGCTGCAGCTGCGTATATCTTATTTCCTTAAGCTTTTAGCTTACTAATACTCTTTTTTATATTCTTTATCTCTTTTATTAGTTCCTTTTATAGCGTATTCTTCTGTTTATCTATAGTTCTTTATATATAGTAGAGTTCTTCCTTAGTATCCGTAAGTCTAAAAAACGCGTTATTAATACATGCAACTATAGCCTAGAAGAAATCTATACTAATAGTATTAAGAGGCTAACTTTATAGGGCGCTTTGTATTTATTATACTTTATTAAGTGCGCTTATAACGCTTCCGTACGTGTTAAGAAGGGGCTTTTAGTTATATTGTTGTTATAGGTGTTATTATTATTATTATTGCGAGTGCAATCTAAGGTTAAAGGTTGCGGGAAAGATTTAACCTACTGCAATACTACTACTACTGCCCGGAGGGCTTTATAATTGCGTATAATTGCTCTAAGTGCCTTAAGGAGCCTATTAGGACTCCCTTTGGCTTCGATTTCCAACGGCTTATTAGGATAACTATATTATATATAGATACTCCTTTAATAAGCTGCCTAATTACCGTATATATAATTATAAAATTATTCTAGAAAAAGGAAAGCAACCTAGATTTAGCTTACTATATAGTATATCCTAGAATAAACTAAAGGTGCTCTAAAAGTACCTTAATAATAACCTTATAAAAGGGTTTATTCGCGCCAGCTTATTACTTATTACCTTTCCTATTATTTTTATTAGAAAACTAGAAAAAAGGTTTATAATTCTATATTAACTACTAAGCGCTAAACGCGGTAACTATTAAGAACTGTTATCTAATTCCTCTAATCTAAGAGACTCTAGCCTAACTTAGTAAGGCTAAGTACTATACTAAGCTTAATATTATCTCGGCGTTTAATTGCTTACAGATTATAAAAGGAGATAAATAGCTAATAGCTTTCCGGATATAATATAGCCTATTTAAATACCTAGTTATGCCCTTTAGACTAGCTAACGCCCCTAGTATATTCTAGTACTACGTAAATAATATACTCCGCCTATACCTAGACGTATTCTGCACTATATATATTAATAATATCCTAATATATAGTAAAAGCTTTAAGAAATACTAGCACTATATAAGGCTAGTCCTTAAGGCCTTAAAAAATACAGAACTGCAACTTAATATTAATAAATGCAAATTCCACTAAAGTAGTGTTATATACCTAGGGTATATAATAATAACTAATAGAATTAGTATAGACCCGAATAAGATTAATAATATCTGCAACTAGAAGACCTCTTATAATATAAAGGACGTACAGGCCTTTATAGGATTTACTAACTTTTACTAATAATTTATTAATAATTTCTCTAGGTTAGCTGCACCCTTAATTATCCTTATAAAAAAGGGCGTGCAATTCTAATTTAATAATACCTGCAAGGAAGCATTTAAACGCCTTAAAATAGTTTTTATAACTGCCCTAATCCTCCGCCACTTTAACCTAGATCTACTAATAACTTTTAAAGCTAACTTATCTAACTATATAAACGCCGGAATCCTATTATAGATAGATAAATATAGAGTTCTATAACCTATAGCCTACTTTTCTAAGCGGCTAAACCTAGCCGAAAACAACTATAAAATTTACGATAAGGAACTCCTAGCAATTATCTAATATTTTAAACAATAGCGCTCTAAGCTAGAGAGTGCTATACTTCTAATCTAGGTTCTTAGTAATTATAAAAACCTGCAGTACTTTACTACTATAAAATAGCTTAGCTACCGGTAAGCCTGTTAGGCAGAGTACCTATCCTGCTTTAACTTTATAATTATATATTAACCTAGCAAGTTTAGAGAAAAGCTAGACGCCTTAACCTGCTGTATACAGGATATACCTGTACAGAAAAAAGCCTAAGCGGCCCGAAACTAGACCTTATTACGCCCTAAGTTATTTACTAAGTTAAACTTTATAAAAACTAATTGCATAATTTAAGAAATTATTAAAGAAGAGTACCTAAATAATAAATTTATATAAGAAGTCCTGGAGCTAATATAATCTAGAACCCGATATTTAAAAAAGATTACCTTAAGTAAATATAAAATCCGTAATAATAAACTATTTTACTGTAATTGCCTTGCAATTCCTAACTATAATAAACTAAAGATTAAGCTCCTTTAGTATATATATAATTCACCTATAGGCGGCTATCTAAGGTGTAGAAAAACCCTTAAAATCCTCTAGAAAGAATACTACTAGCCCCGGATATTTAAGATAATCTGCTAATATATAGCCTGTTATTATACCTATTACTATATAAAGGCTTTAAGAGAAAAGTATAATAGCTTCCTAAAGCTACTACTAGTTCCGCTGCGCTGCTAGTAAGATATTTTAGTTAATTTTATTATAAATCTACCCAAATCTAAAGGCTATACTAATATTATAGTTATAGTAGATTATCTAAGTAAGTATTAATATATTATTCCTTATAAAACAATTACAGCTTAAGCCACCGCTAACCTGTTCTACCGGTATATTTAGGTGCACTATAGCCTTCCTAATATATGCGTTTCTAACTAAGAATTGCAGTTTATTTCTATATTTTAGGATAAACTATATAGATAACTATAAATCAAAGCCCAACTATTATTAGCCTTCTGTCCTAAAATAGATAGCTAGACGGAGAAGGTAAATTCTATACTAGAATAAGTCCTCCGGGCCTATATAAATTACCAGCAAGATAACTAGGTAACCTGGCTGCTATTAGCTTAATTTAAAGCAAATAATATAAGATCTAAATTAACTATAGTAATACTATTTATTGCTATTATAGGATAGAGCTTTTAAATAGGCTTTAAACCCTCTACAGGAATATAGCGCCCTTTCTATTAAATGCTGTAAGCCTGTAAAGCTAACTAGATAATTAATAAAATAACTAATATTAAATAATTTATCTATAAAGAGATAACTTAGGCATAAGTAATATAGGAAGAGTTTGCTAACCGTTAGCGCATCGGTGTACTGTCCTACTGCGTTGGCGATAAAGTCTGGCTAGACGCCCGAAATATCCGTATAAAATAAAAGTCTAAAAAGCTTAACTAGAAGAACCTTAGAAAGTTTCTAATTATATAAGTGGTTTTACTATATACCTATTAATTAGGCCTGCCTAATATAATAAAGATCTACCCTATCTTCTATATCTCCCTTCTATAGCCTACCGCCCCGTTCTTAGATTACCTTCCTAGCTAAGAAAACTCTCCTTCTAAACCTGTTAAGGTTAATAGCGAACCGGAGTACTATATTAACTATATTAAAAACCTCTGCTTTAACTAACGCCGGAAGCAATATAAATACCTTATTAAATAGACTGGCTATAATAAGTTATCCTAGGAGCCTGCTTTAAAGCTTAAAAATATAACAGCTGCCGCTAATTATTATCGCCGGCACCCTAATATACCTAAGCTACTTAATATATAATTATATAATTATAAGGGCCCTGCGCAGAAGGCTTCTACTAACTACTCTAGGGCTATATAACACAACTTTAACGCCTAAAAAACTTAGGTTTAGAAAAGGGGTACTATTATAGTAACTACCTGTAATACTTTACCTACTATAATTCGCTAATTACGTGTTTAGTCTAGCTCCTAGTCTAGATTATATCCTAGAACGTAGCCTAAATTACGTAACCTAGTCTAGGTTATAGTCTAGGTTATAGACTAGATTACGTAGCGTTATTACCTAATCTCGCATAGAGCTCGCGAGCTTATGCTATATATATATTCCGCCGGCATATCTTCTTCGCCGGCGCTTTCGATTTCCTATTCCTTATACAACGTCTTAATTCCCTATATAGTAACGTGTTTAGCATCTAATTAACGCTTCCTTCTAAGCTTTTAAACTCCTGCTTATAGCACTATTATAATAGGGTGTACAACTACTAAAAAGGGGGTATATAATTACTATTTCCCTTTAAGTATCTAAATACTATAGGTTTTAAGCTAGTTTTTAGTATATTTAGAGTTATATATTAGTATATTATCTTAAATAAAGATATACTTAGGTAAGTACTAAGAAAAAAGTTCTTTTTTAAAAGTTTTAGTATAGCTTTTTCCTAAATACCCTATTTTCTTAGATATAAAGTCCCTCTTTATAATAATTAAAGGGAAGTATTCTACTTTTTCCTTTAGAATAACTTAAATAGCCCCCTATACTATCTATAATATCTTTTTACCCTTTTTTTTCTCTATAATTATCTTAGGGTTATATTTCTTACTAGGAAATTAAAAGCACTATTTAGCTTATTAGCCTAAGCCCTGTTAAACTAAGCACTTATCTATAAACTTAATAACCTGTTACTTCTATTAGAAATTCCGATACTTTTTTATAAATTAGCGCCGTAAAGCTGTATAATCTGCCTTTAATTTAGGCCTCTAGGTATAACAGTGGTTCCTAAGGCCTTATTTCTAGAGCTTCTATACAATAGTCCTTATTAAAGGGGGGTAGTTGCAGTTTTAGAGCCCGGCATCTTTAAGCATCTATTTATACTTAATTTTAGGGGATTTTCGTGCAATTTAATATAGCAATTGTTTCTTGCAACGTGATAGTACCTCTGGACAACCATCTCGAGGTAGGGTGTATACAGTTTTGTGGGTTTCCCACCGCTTGATTGTCTTGGTGATTGTGTTCCGGTGAACGCCAAATTCAGCCTCCAATTCCTTGACAGAAACACCAGCCTCCCGCTTTGAGATAATAGCGCTGCGAGCCTCAGGTGACAGCTCTTGATTCCTGCCTCGATTTCCTGTGATTTCTGTGCCAAACGAGCGGCGCATGGTTGTGCTGTTGGTGTTCGAACATCGTGAGTTGATGCGCGTCGCGTAGTTTCGTGTTGGAGCCCGAGCTCGTGCACATAGACTTTTGGCTTAGTACTGTATTATGCCAAAGCACTAGACTACGTCTTTAAATATTTGAAATATGATCAAGTACTTTCCCAGATGCTAGTCGCATGGAGCAATGAGCGAGAGGATAATTGCGATGGAATCCTAACATGCTTTATGAAGGTATAAAAAAAAAATATAACATACATGCTTGCTGCGTGCATATCGAACTTGGGAAAGGGGATGACGAAAATGTGAAGAAGGGAATATGTGCAGGTGCACCATTATCTAGCCAAAAACGATGGACCTTGTGTCCGCTAGACTACTAGACGGCAGTGTCAGGCTTTAACAAAGTTCCTGGACGAGTTGACGAGCGGCAGGACTAGATTGTATCTCGAGCGTACCACTTCCTCGGCGTCATCGTTCGGCACCCATAATTCACCCAGCGCATACACACGTCCGTCACTGAGCAATTCACATTCGCCTACGACGAAAATCATTTTACTGCGCTGGCGATTCACCCCCTTGAATGTACAGGCCGACTCCGTAAGTATATAGTGCCTCCTACTTTCCGACCTCAGTCTCTCCCCTTCATCCCGACACCAACTTTCTTCTCCACACCACCACCACTTCCAAGACCCAACACCCTCAGCACACCACCATCCTCGCTTGCCAACCATGGCAGCATCTTTCCTCAAAGTACTCTCGGGGTTCTCCAAGAGCAAACCTAAGCCCTCCCCAGACCAATCCCCACCAGCCTTACACATCCCCGAACTCGTCGAGATGATCTTCTCCAACCTCAGACATCGCGACCTTATCCAATGTTCTCAGGTCTCCAAGCAGTGGAAGGATATCGTGGATACTAGCCCTGCTATTCGGAGACAGACGTGGCGAGATACACCCAAGCGCCTCATTACTCGATCCCAGAAGAACACACTACTCGACGATCGTACCGAGGACCTCCGTAACCTAAAAATTGTGAATCCTGATGGCGGAGCACGGGGAAAGATCCCCATCATTGCAGATCTTTGTCCCGTGTTCTTGCAGGCGGCTGGTGACTTCAATGGAGTTTTCGACCGCCGTCGTACTCCTGCTCTTTGGATTCTACATCCCAACCACGTCCTCTATCTCTGTTTCGGCCACGATATCTCCAAGCGTCTCCTCGACCACGGATATCAATGCAAGACGGCATCCTACCACGAAATGCTCGTCATGGACCCCCCACAAACCCAAATCATCGTACGATCGATTTTCTACAACCCCACCCGAGGTACTTGTTTCTGGCACTGGACTGCTTTCTTAGAGAACTGACAAATGATCGCCATAATCTCGAATCCGTCCAGCGTTCGCGTAGGAGAGGTGCTCGACTGCTTCCGCGCCATGGAATCCCTCGCCAACCTCACCAAAACCCTCGAATGGAACATCGGCCTCGCTCTCGCTGTGATCTTCCTACCAGTACTCATTCCCTCCTGGATCACTTTGGGACCGCAGAAGCTGCTCCGCGTCTCCAAGTACGTTCGGAAGTTCCCGAGCTCGTACTACGGCGCGAAAGCATTCGAACGGGGCACTATCAACGGCTACTGCGCCACTGTTCGATACGGCGTCGATATCCTCCGACATGGACACCCGTACGCGAAATCGCAAAAGGTCTGGGTTCATGCTGCACACTATCTCTCCCGGCTCGACTCGTGGTGCTACTACCTCTTCCTCGTCTACGTGCTATACCGGATTATGGGACTCCGTTATGGGCGATTCAAGGTGCAGGGGCAGCCTGGATCCCAGCAACCCGAGTACGCGCAAGGTACAATCCTCAGTTTGATCATGATTTCTGTTTACTTTTACTTTGCTGGTGCGATTGCCAATCCGTTAGATGGCCCGCGGGTGTTGGAAGAAGAGGCGAGGAGCAAGTTTAGGAGGCAGTGGGGCACGAAGTAGTGGTGGAGGGACTGGCGATTCTAAGGGAAAGGCTGCGTTGTAAAGCATGCGGAATGAGTGTTCTGGGATTCAGCCTACCGCTGTATGGTGCTGCCTCTGCCGGCTGACTAAGGAGGCACATAAGTAATTAGGTACCGTGAGCGACGGGCCAAGGGGCTAGGTATTTGCATTACAGATGTTTTGTTCGCTCGAGGAGTAGTGAATTTGGCCCTCTATCAGATTCCCCTTTCAATCTTAGCGTACAGTTTTCCTTTAACATAGATACTCAGCGGGAAGTTGAATCTTAGACCTGCCTACCACAAGAGCACTCTGCTCTGTCAATATGTTGCTCAATAGCTTCATAGAAGCTGGCAGCTGGTGAAAAGTGGTGAGAACTCTTGTGTATTGCTATGTAGGAGGATGGGTATATATAGGCGTAGAGGCGCCAAGCCAGCTAAGCGAAGGAACCCTGACGCATGCAAGCTGGGGAATAGCGCTAAGGATGCGCTAGTACAGTAGCGTATGGACGGCTGCCAGAAGCCATGATCGACATTTCCTTCGTTCGAACTCATATGCATGTGGAATTTAACTTTTTACCTAAATTTCTCTAATCAAGAAAAGTCACAGTTTACCTCAATCTATTCTACCAACACACCTCACTCTGTTGTTCTTCGGAAGCCCCCAATCCTCTCCTTCGCCCTACCGTATTCCACGTGCTGGTGGTGATTTTCCGTTTCTCCTCAAACCGTGTATCTCCCCAAAGCTAACGAGGTACGTATTCACAGGTACTAGATCGTCCAGTTTAATAGCGAGATCGACCGTGTATGACCTCCAACCCCTAAAGAGGAGCTACTAACTTCCCACTCATCACCTCCCTAGCCCCTGCCTAATCCGCCAGTCCGGCTAGAAGGTTTCCACTCTCAACCATCATGCCATATTTCACAATAAATGTTTCCCCGTAATGTGTAAGTGCCTGAGGTAAGTACTGTGGTGTATGCAGGAAATATGGATTCTAACCTGGGCAAGCCGAGTCTAAAGACGCTACTAGGTAAGGAATGGATTACGGATATGAAGATTCCCTTCTTTTGGCGCGTAGATGAATGAGGGCCGAGAGCTGATGAGACGCGAAAACAAAAGCAAATACGTGTGGGATGATACAGTGCCTTGCCATAGAAATCCGTATACTTTCCTGCCACTGTCTATGGTGCTCCAACGTACTAATAGAAAGCGAGGACAGTGGATAAACTTCTAGTCCTCGTACGCCATGTTGACGCTATCTGAGGTAACCTAGCAAGTCTAACAGGACGTACAAACTGTCTCATTCATTTTTTCCAGGGGGTGTCGAGGCAACTCATGCGGCGATAACCCACTTCGAAACAGAGCACATAACGTTGAACTAATGGAAAGAACCGGGAACAGTGGATACACTTCCCATCTGTGTACACCCTGTTGGCGCTGTCTAAGGTAGCCTTGCAAGATTAGTAGTCACTTAAAAGGCCGGATTCCTCTCTTATTTGGAATGCTGAAAATACTATGAAGCTCCTCACACAGCGGTAAACAAGTGTACAGATTTCAATGACGAAGCATTATACTGCCGCATCTTATCAGATGCGAGAGGAGTAGCGGTTTTGAAAGCAGTGAATTCTATGGGCACGGCGGCAAAGTAGTCACAACTATTCCTCCTGAAATGGAATTAAGGGATGAGCTATGGTATTCTAGTCTATCTTACACTTCATGTTCCCTAATCATCGCTTTCACTTACTTATAATACTTCAAGTGTGAACTCCGCTCCCCAGTGTGATATAGCACAGGCGTTTACCAGCGCAACCAAGTTACCAAGAACCAGTCAATAAGCCATAGAGCCCTCAATCAAGACCGGTCTCCTTCCCGTGTCCGCCTTCTATCCCAAAAAGAAATGACCGAAAATGCCTCCGAGTAAATTATTGTCATCTTCAGGAAGTAGAGAAACCGTCCCAGTTTCCAGGGAAGGCTTCGCCGCCAAATCTTTTTAAACCGCTAGAAATCACGGCGTCTGATGAGTAGCTATATTTGAGCACATGTTCCGACACCCTAATGCATCTAAATACCCCTCTACTATTCTAGTAAGAGTTGCAAAGCCCGAGAAACCTTATTCTCTTTCCGTATCCCCTGTCTATCCCAAGAAGAAACATGCCAAAATGTCCCCAAGATGATGATTGTTCCCAACGCCAGCTGTAAGAAGCATAAAGAATTCCAGGAGAGCCAAGGTCGCGGACTGTCTTTACGCCATCTAACCACGCGGGGCATGAAAAAAGTGGCACACTCATTAAGTACTCTGTCCTTATGTACACCTGTCTGCCATTGCATGAAGTGCTTTAACAAGTTTCCACATAGTTTAAAGTGAAGGGCTTTTGTCTTGTTCCTATTCCTGAAAATTCTCTGAGGCACCCCAAGCAGTGGCAGACAGATGTACACATGAGACAGCTTGTTCTGGAATTAGTATGTCACACTTTCCATGCCCCGCGTGCCAACGTAGCCTTACGGCTGACGCAACGTAACCGAGCCCGTCCACACAGTTACCGGCCCATCCCACGCGTACCAATACAGAAACGCTATGAAAGTCAGGGGATTGAATACTGCCAGGAGAATAGCAAGCGTCACCCAAGGCCCGAGATACCCAACCATAACCGCGAGTACAGCGAGTATCTCGACCATGATTCTCTTAGCGCGTCCCAGCCCCAAGAAACAAAGGAACGAGGGGAGGGAGTAGAGAATCAGCATCCAGGCGCCCACGAACGTAATTCTCCTCAATACATCACTGTGCTCCTCAAGCATCCCCTTCAGCGTCCGACGCGGGATGGGTAATGCCGCAACGGAAACTGGGACTGGGAGATTCGCGCGGCATAGCGGGCAATTCGTGCGGGATTGGATCCAAGTATCGAGACAGTCGTGGCCGAAGACATGATGGCATTTCGAGTCGATCACTTGAACGGCCATGTCGTGGAAGGAGAAGGGGCGGAGGCAGATGGGGCAGCCGTCGGTGTGCTTTGCTAGGACCTCTGTGACGAATTGGGGAGGTTGGTTCAGGGGGTGGGCGAACTAGAGGGACATGGTGGTGATGGTGGTGGTGGTGGTGGTTCTGAGTGAGTTGGGTGGGTGCGGGTGATGGAGTACTAAGAATGAACACATTCTTCGAGTATAAAATAAGGATGAAAGGAAGATATGAAAGGGTAGACAGGAAGTCGATCACATCGAGAGAACGGAGAAATCTTAGAAGTGAATTTGAAATAATGAATGGGACCTAGTGAATTTGGATTGAAGAACTCTTGACTGAAGCAGGCCGTACATGTGCTCTACTTCGTCCTTCACTTTTGATGCTAATAATTGACCCCCTTTTGAAAGAAATGGCACACTCAAGCATTTCAACACTGTCTGAGGTGGCCCGGTGAGCTATCAGAAATGCCAGAACTGGTATTCTACAAATGCTAAAAGCACACCAGAGGACTTCAAGTGGTGCTAAACAAGCGTACATAACCACAGGAATAGTTTTTAGACAGTTCACAGGTTTGTGGACTACCACGTTCTGTTGACACTCATCAACTACGCTGTCTTATGGGTGCACCTATCTACTACTGCTTGCAGTGCTTCAACAAGTTTCCACATAACGCAGAGTGAAGAGCTTGTATCCTGTTTAGATTTCTGAAAATGTATTAAAGCACCCTAAGCAGTGGCAGACGGGTGTACCCGCAAGACAGCTTGTCTTAGAATTAGAGTGCCACCCTTTTCATGCCCCGCGTCAGCCCGTCCTAAGATCGTTTGTATAGTAGAGCAGCTAACGCCTGCACACGCCGCCACAAAAGACTTAAAACAGCCGACTGGCGCCAATACAGCCCATATGCTAGCAACATCTTGGTCAAGGATAATCTGAGCATAGAGCATAATCCCCGCGGCAACAATGATTCCCTGATCTGCTCCGGGCGATTAAGAAGCTAAATTTGTGAACCTTCAAGGAGGAATGCTAAACCCCCGCCACTCGCTTCCATATTTAGACTCGAGAACTCTGCTCCATGTCCCACTTCGCCTCGCCTAGAGTCCTATCCATAGAAAAATATGTACACGAGGCGTACTAGCATGACGGGTAGGAGGAAGATTAGGAGTTCCGAGTACTCGAACCCATCATGATAAAGTATCACGTTCCAATGAAGTCGCGATCGCAGCTTAAGGAGCTTATAGATTGAACCGATAGCCATCATGAAGTTGCAACATTCGACCAGTGGCAGGAAAGAGTCGAAGATGGAGAGCCAGGTCGTAGGATGAGTTGCATAGAGATGCTGGTGAGCAATAAGCCCCATTCCGCATCGAAGGAGGCCGGGTCCGAATGTCAAAGACATGAGAATGCCCATGTTCTATTGTATCCAGAGCGAGTGTCTGGTTAACTTCTCTAAATCGTATACGCAGTCGATTATTTGGCCAATTTGAATCCCGTCCTGGTTCTTGATTTTGGCGCGAAGTAGTCGCGCATCAGACTGTGCCTTCCAGTGCCAGAATCGAGTGCCAGCGGAAGGCATGTAGCATCTTGATCGTACGACGACCTTCGTAGGTGGCAGGAAAATCAGAAGCATGTTGCGGCAGGATGCTCTCTTGTACCTGTATCCCCGCGAGAAGGTATGATCATTGAGGTCTTGGGCGAAGGAGAGATAAAACGTCTGGGGGTTGTTTCGAACACTCCAACATATAGAGTTGGCGGTGGTTCGGAAGCGCTGATAGTCGATGGGACCACAGAGATACTGCGGGGCTTTACTGCCGTGCCAGTACTTGCAGTTTGCCAGTGCTGCGGCGTCTTTTTCACGCTGGGTCAGGTCGCCCAGCTGAAGTTCTTTTGGGCAATCGAGGCGCTTTAGTATGCTCTTGTACGGAACGCACGACAGGGCTGGACTAGTGTCGATGATATCTTTCCACTGCTTGCACACCTTGAAGCATCGGAGTATGTCGAAGCGGTCTTCGAGTTCGAGGAATATCATTTCCGCAAGTTCTGGTGTATGCAGAACTTGCGCCGCTGCAGATATGACTGCACGGTCAAGAGGCGGTTGGGTTTGCTTTTTAGCGGATATCGAGAAGATCTTGAGTAAAAAAGGTGCCATGTTGACGAGGGGTTGTTGACTCTTATGGTAATTGGTAGTGTAAATGGCTATCGGCTGGGCGAAGGTGTGGTGTGGCGTGGAGGCGAGAGTGTAGAAGAGACGTTGGAGGAAGGAGCATCAATACCGGGTCTTTATATCGATTCAAGAATGCTGTAGGTGAAAGCAGGCTTTTTCATACATAGGTGTCCGTAGTATTGAAAGCTGGTGAATTAGTGGGTCTCTGGCCACGTTTTCTCAAACCTTTCAGGTGGATGACTCTATTCGCTATATGCTGTTGAGCGACAGTCAGAGGGGAAATGGATCAAAACAAGGTGTGTAGCCAAAAGCCGTATTGATGATGTCAGGAAGCTAGCTACTGAGCGGAAGGAGGAAAGATATACAAAAGGTGCTGAGTAAGCCTGCTAGAGAGGAAGGGCCCCACACTGTCGTGTAAGGACGTGCAATCCTGGCTAGAGACTGAATGCCTCTAATGACCCGACGCTTGTCAAAGCTGCTTAAGTAAACTTCTGCTTAAGTAAACTTCTGCTTAAGTAAACTTCGCTTAAGTAAACTTCGATATTTTAGAGAGACTGTTCGGTTGTCAATTTGAGAGATATGCCACCTCGAGGCTCGCTAGGACACTTCGGAAAGAGTATTGCGCGAGCCAGGTTCTCCAGAAATACTGGCATCACGATGCGGTATATGAGAGCTCCTGTATCTCACTCTCTCTTTTTTCGAGGTTGATTTGCCGTGGATTAGATGTATAGATACTAAGATAGTCTGTCAGATTTACAAAATACACCATGGTTTCGTGATCGCATATTCAACTGATCATAGGCGATGTCAACTTTTATATCAATCAACATTCAGTGTGTTTGGTTACGTTTGGCCAACACATGTCGCAAACGTACCGCGTACGTCTCATTGCTCAAACGCCACCAAAACCAGCATCAGGTGCCATAGAGTCCGTTGAACACAAGCACGGCGGGGAATTTTGCACAATAGGCTAATCTGAAATTGATTCAGAATTATTGGGTACTCAGCCTAGACCGTCACCAACCTCAGCTGCTAAATAACGAGGAAAACTGGTAGTTATCAAACGAGTGATCAAGAGAAATAGATCTAGTCAGGCCGTATGTCGTCCCCACGGAAACCTCTTTAGTCCAGCTTCACAATCATCCTATGATGAGATATCCTGTATTTAGTAGACATCGCAGTAAGCACTTCCACCCGTATTTAACTTCCGCCCATAACGACAATTCTAAAAAAACCTGAACGAGAGGGAGCAGCCCCCATGCGAGAAAGAAGAAGCCTACTCTGACGAATAGACACAGCCGAGACGGCGTTCCTACCCACGAGGAGCCTCCACGGAACCGGATCTTGTTGCGGCCAAATCGCAGCCTCAACATCACCAAAATCGCTCGACCTAGCAAGAAGCAGAGGAGAAGTAGTTGGACTCCAAAGTGGGGACAGTATCCTGCCACGGCCATGCAAAAGAAAAATAAGATGAGGAACTTCGACCCCATGCGTGCAAGCCAGAGGCAGAAGATCAGGGACTGTGCCGCGCCAGGGACAACTCCTCCAATGACGAGCAGCATGTTGATCTTCGATTCCATTCGATCAGCCATCTTAGTGAGGGACTCCATATCGCGGAAACAGTCGAGCAAATCACCGATGTGGACGCCGTTAGCGCATGAGACTGTTCCTTCTAGGTCCCAGGACTTGGAGATGTTGTAGAACGTGCATCGCACGTTTACTGTCATGGGGGCGGGCATCGAGATGAGTAGGTGTCGGCAGGTTGCCGTCTCGCAATCAAATCCATTTGAAAGGATTGGCTCCTTGAGATCCTGTTTGAAGGAGAGGTGAATACTGTAATCTTGCTGCACTGTCATACACATAGAGAGATTGGATGTGCGCAGCTTCTTGTCCTCGAAGACAGGGTGTTGATAATATGGAGCCATAGGAGCAATGAAGCCCTAGATGAGGCCGTGCCAATCCCCGCAGCCTGCGTCCTGCATTCCCTGCTCTTCATATTTCGTCAGAGAGCGGACCTTCCACTCATACTTGCCAGTTGAAGGTAGAATGGACGGGGGTAGCGGCCACCACAAAATCATACGACGCTGAATAGCTAGGCTGGTTTCTACGATTCCTTTCCACTGTTTGCAGACCATACCACAATGGCGGATGTCGGTCATGTTCTCAAGTTCGTTGATAATCATTTCCACCAGCTCGACAGTATGCAGAACTCGAGATGCTGCAGATACGCTTTCCTTTCCTAGCTTGACTGCCTTCTCAGAGGGCGTAGCGTGACGCTGGCGTCGTTTTTTGGGGACGTTAAGAGAAGACGGCATGCTCGTGATTATCCGCAATGGGCGGATCTGGTTGCGGTAGTTGGAAAGTTCTGAGTGGAATTGATGGGCAAGGAGGGTGGTTGATGTGTGGGTTGGAGATGAGCGTGATGGAAGAGGGGAGGCGAAGGAGAGTCTACTTGACATGAATACGTGCACCCGGAAACATGTCCGGCGAGTGAATGCTTCATCAAAAGTGTAACCGTCACAGATGCCGCTCTAGACATCCGACTTTCACCTTCCATTCACTAGGCACAAAGATTTTTCTTACCGCATTCACAATGCTAACGAATCGCTCTTATCTCAGTGCCTGAGATTAATCCATTTCCCGAGCTCGATGAATGAGTTATGGCTCAGCCATTTGGCGTGATCCAGCTGGTCTCCGAAGTGCTCGAAGACCAAGACGGGGAGCTCTCGGTCCTTGTGCCCCACCCGCTTCCTTTGCTCATTGAATGATCTGAAGCTCACGCATTTTATGCAATCCAGCTGTTTCTTGGGGCAGTGGAAGACCACGCCAAGGTGGCCCCTTCCATTCCCCTCGACCACAATCACGTGCCTCGCAGATTTCTGGTTTGAAAAGCGAGCATCTCCCTGTTCTTTCTGGCCTTCTCTCTTTTAGCACTAGAGTGGTGATGGTACTAGCGGCTGTATTTATGAGCCATCGGAACCCAGCCCTGCATTGAGCGCTGGCTATCTGGTAGACCGGGAGATCTCTGATAGCTAGTGTAAGGTTTCATGTATTCGAGCTAGTTATCCTAAAATTGTATCCCTCCGCCTTCTCCATCCAATTAATCTAAGACCCGCATCGTAGAATCGAACCGTGAGCTGAATTGACACTAAATCAAAATTGAGCCTCAGCCCGCAACAAGGTCCCGGCGTGATGGCGGTAGAAACAGCGTGGCCAGTAATCCGGCTGACGGAGTGTGAGGCCCTTGGATTGATTGGATGGGGCTGGTTGAAGTTCGAGATTAATTAGACAGATTGAAGGGATTTATCAAGCTAGACCAATCCACCTAGATCTACCACGAAGACTGACATAACAGGTATAGAAATGGGGAGTGTATGGGGTGACCTGGGCCTACCTATGGCTAGTTCCATCAGAAATCTAGTTTATCAATCCGATTGAGGATTGAAAGTCCTCTAGATTGATTGGATTGGGTTTGAATGGGTGTGGATTAACCGGCTGGCCGATGGACGGATTGAAGGTTGGACGGATTACTAGCCACGCTGGCGCACGGGGCATGGAAAAGGTGGCACAGTAATTCCAGAACAAGCTGTCTCATGTGTATGCACACCTGTCTGCCACTGCTTGGGGTGCTTCAGAGAATTTTCAGGATTTAGAACGAGATAAAAGCCCTTCACTTTGGTCTTGGTGGAAACTTGTTAAAGTACTTCATGCAGTGGTAGACAGGTGTACGCACGTGCTGAGTACTTGCTGAGTGTGCCACTTTTTTCATGCCCAGCGTGGCTGGGTAGAAAAGGTCTTGAGGATAGAGAGGATTTTGGAATCTTGGCATTTTAATGAAACGTCAAGATTCCATTCATCTTGCCAAGAAACCAAAACTACCTAGATAGGTAAGGCTGAGCGTAACTGAGGTGATAAAAGTGTCGAGCTCACTGCACAGAGTGCCAAGAAATCCAGTTCTGCACCAAGAAACCATGTGGAATGCTAAGAAATCATACGAAACAAGGTATACACTCGTATCTCCGTTGATATAGCTGTGTCGGCTGTACAGGTGGGTGATCGCTTGGCTTTCGATGTGTTTTTTGTCGACTTTCACTGATGAAGTGCATGCCTCAGACTTTTGGGGGTGTGGGGCGGAGAAGTTCATTTTTAGAAGACTACTAAAACATGTGCGTTTGGGAGCGTCGAATAATTTCTGAAGAGATCTGATACCGTTGCTTGACGTTTCGTGCGAAGTTGAAAGTCCTGAATGGTATGCAAATTCTGAAGGGTACTTAAATGACAGCCAGCAAGGCCACTGAGATTCTTCAAAGATGCTGCACACACGATACCAAACCATCAAGCGGCGCGTCATGTAGTGCTATTGATATCCGGAAACCCCAGGTAGGCAAAAGCCTAGTGATCGGGCAGTCTCACTCCCTCCCTCGTCCATACCACCTCCAGAAAAGGATTGTCATGAGGCCTCGGGCTATTACCCAGCAAAGCCGGGACAACACCTCCTGGACCATCATGAATTCTTCTAAACCAATATGTCTCGCTTACTTCTCCAAAGAGGCGGTACGACCATGCGGAATCATACCCCGACGGCCCATCGATAACATCCAGACAATCGGGGATCCGTACCGCCACAACTTCACCCTATCAAAGAGCGGGACCGGGCCAAGGCTCTTCACGATCTTAGCCCACTCCTCCATCCGCACTGCGAGCGTCCGCTCACTAGGCCTAGAGCTTCTATTGCCGGTATTCCAAATATGCAGCCAAAGGTTTGGATGCGCATGTTCCGCCAGAATCGTCAATACCTCATGCCAAATCTCCACATGCTGAAACTCCTTCTCGGGATCGACTTCGCGGACATCGAGGACTAGTCCTCGGATGTACTTGAGTTTTTCCCGCTGCTTCAGAGCTAGGACAGTCTCATAGATGCTGCCAAATCCGGACCGCGGATCGCCTCTTCTGGTCGGGGCGCTGCGCATGAAGAATTGGCCGTTGAGGTAAAACACCCGTTTTGCAAGCTTGTACATATGCTTGCTAACGCAGAACAGCGCGCTGGGGTATTGTATGTAGATCGAATCGCTGCAGATGCAAGGAAACCAACTCCAGGCACCTCCTTCGCAGGTTTTGTAGCAACCGGCGCCGATGGGATTGCCGTGCTTGTTGAGAGTGATGGGGATGCCACGAATGTCCGTCATGGATTCATTGGCGTTCCCGAGACCAGCGTGGTAGAGTATCAACTCTTGAAGTTCGATTGGGAGCTCCAGAAATCTCGGGAAGGACGGAAGAGATCTAGCTGGGATGGGATCGGCGTGGGATCAGATTAAGGCTGCTGCCTTGGACTTTGCTGAGATGCCGTTTGCTGACATGACTGGGCGGTAGGAAGGTCAGACTTCAACATTCTAAGCGGTGGGTTGTGGATGTGGAAAGGATGGGAGATTGTGTGGTGTTGTTGGTGGGTGAGTAGCCTGGCTGCGTTGAAGGTGTGGAGGATAACATGATAGGGATATAAGAGATTTATGCGATTAAGGCCGGGTCCAGGCGGTGATTCGCATAGCCAACCAAGGTCACGATACTGCGCGTACCAAGCTACTCATGGGCTAGAGCAACTCGACAAATCCACCGTACCACCGTCTGCATTGTTCTAGGTGAAGCAATAATATAAAGTCGACAGAAGCATGTGACTAATAGTTACACCAATCCTGGATCCAGACCGAATGACTGTTTTTGGCATTGCCTCTCTCGTAGTCAAAAACAGAATCAGACTTGGGCCCCGGTAAGAGCGCCGGTTCTCATCGACCATACCAACTTCGCTCTGTGGTAGATCCTACAGACCGCGAACGCCTTGATGTTGAACACGACAGAGTAGGGCCCGAGGTGATGAAGAATCTTGACAAATTTGTTCGTCCGCGTCGTCATCTTGTGGTCGCATTGTTTCATGTCCCAGTACCCACTCATGAGAATCTGCATATCCGGATTGGGATGCCCGTAGCGTGAACAGCGCCATCCACGTATCAGTATCCTCGAACTCTTCGTCCCAATTAGCTTCGCGGATGTCAATTCTGAGGTAGCGGATGTTACGGAGTTTGTCCTTGGGAAAATTTAGAATAGTGTTGTATGTGCCTTTGATGCTGGTACGGGGATCGTTGCGAATGAAGAATTGGTTTTGAAGGTAGTAAGTCCTAGTGGCGAGGTCGTTTGACTGTGAAGAGCGCCGAGGGAAGACGCTCGCATGTGCAGCTAGAGGACCAGTGAGCGCTGTATACTCCGTCCTTGTCACATGTGACTTGAGAGCAACCGCATGAGCCGCCCGTGATTCTCTCTCCGCATATACATAAGTGGGAATGCCAGATCCATGGAGTGGGGTTGCAAGTCTGGCAACAAGGGTATCGCAGTGTGCCATGTCGCGTTGACCAGAGGCAAATCCCATAACTGTCCACGAAGAATGGCCAGCGAGGAAACGTCGTAATGAGAAGTAGAGGATTCCGTAAACCTACCATTATTGATACAGTACCTGGTGTAATAATAGCGGTCGGGAATCCCGGCTGCTTGGATAGAATTGATGGCTTGAGGAGAGGAAGAATTGCGCTCTTGCGGTATTCTAACCAGCAGGAAAGGTGGTGAAGCTCTCCAGCTCGACACATCATTTCATCACCTTCACCTGGAACAATTGCAGGCCCGAAGGTCATCGCCAACCATACAAACCTTGGAAGGTAAGACTGCACACATGCCGTCGTTGGTATTGTTCTCCCCTCGTGGTGTTGCTTTGTCTTAGCTCGCTTGCAGCGACAACCGCAACCTCACCGCCGCTCCCCCACCATGCCATTCCCGACCTCCCCTCCCACCAAAACCAACTGCAACCCATCGACCTGGTGCCCTCTCCCCACCAACCCTCCAGAGCTTCCATCCACTCCCAATATGACCTCCTACGCCTCCGACCCCGCCTGGGCCGACATCGAGCCGCTCCCGCAAGACGATGGCGGCCCGCACCCTCTCGCCGCCATCGCCTACAAAGACGAGTACAGCGAAGCGATGTCGTACCTACGCGCTGTGATGGCGAAGAACGAGATGAGCGAGCGGGTGCTAGGGCTCACGGAGCGGATTATCGGGATGAATCCAGCGCATTACACCGTCTGGTAAGACTCCACCTAGCTCTTTGTCTGCAGCATCTTGGACATCAACATCGCGCTCAACTCCCCACCCCTCTTGCATCACAAGACCAGGGACAACCACAAGCTTCACTCATGCTAAATATCTCCATATCCAGGCTCTACCGCTCCCGCGTCCTCGCCGCCCTCTCCTACGACCTCCGCACCGAACTCGCCTGGCTCAACCCCACGGCCCTCAAGCACCTGAAAAACTACCAGATCTGGCACCACCGCCAAACCATCGTGGACGCTCTCGACTCGGCCGACGGCGAACAGGCCTTCATCGCCGGCATGATGGAGCAGGACGCCAAGAACTACCACGTCTGGAGCTACCGGCAGTGGCTCGTGAAGCGCTTCGCGCTGTGGGATGCCGGGGAGCTAGAGATCGTGGAGGCAATGCTGCAGCATGATGTGCGGAACAATAGCGCGTGGAATCATCGTTATTTCTTGGTGTTTGGGCGGGACGATGGGGTGGTGGTTGAGCAGAAGACAATAGACCGGGAGATCGAGTAAGTTTTGTCTTGGAGCTGCGCAATGGTGGGATGGTGCTAATGTTGGGATAGGTACGCAAAAGAAACGATTCGTAAAGCACCCCAGAACCAAGCCCCCTGGAACTACGTCCGCGGCGTGCTGCGGTACGCCAAGCTCTCGCCGGCTTCGCTGAAGGAGTTCGCAGCGGGGTTTGCGCCGGTGGAGAGGCCGGAGGATATCAAGTCGAGCCATGCGTTGGATCTGTTGGCGGAGATCTATGCGCAGGAGCAGGGGAAGAGTGAGGAGGCGGTAAGGGTGCTGGATTTGCTGGCGGAGAAGTATGATCCGATTCGGGCGAATTATTGGAACTTCCGCAAGTCGCAACTGGGTTCTGCGAGCGCTGCGGCTTGAGCTCGACTTCATGGGTATGGTAAGTAGTAGTACTGGGGCAAGGCGTCTTATTTTGGATTAAGGGATGCATGCGATACCCGGCTGGCGTTTGGTGTATGGTATGAAACCCCAAAAGAAAAGTATATTATCTAGATCCTTAATATCGAGTCTTCTATCATAACCCAAGAAATCAAGCAAACCACCCATACCCCTGCCTCAATTGCTAAACGACAGGCTTCACAACCTCACTCGGCGCCTCCGTCTTCGGCATCCCCTTCTCAACCCACCCGTACTCCTCGCGCCACCCATGCAACATCTCCGCCGTCACATTACTGCCTCCACACAGCACAACCACCACCTTCTCATCTGGTCGCACCTTTCTTCGCAACGCCTTCTCAAGCCGCCCATCATAACACAACGCCACATTCACCCCACACGCCAACTCGACCATCAGCCTCTCATCATCCGCCAGCCGCCAGCACCCCATCGCCGCCTCGGCATCCGGCAGCACGACACTCCTCACCCGACTCCCCTCCCGCATCGCGTACTCAAACGCCTTCCGCGCCACCCTCACCGCCCCCAAACTCGTCGCCTGGCTCGTGATCTTGTCCAAGCTCACCAAACTCCCCGCCGCCATCGACGCAGCCAGGCTCTCCGCGCCCGCCGTCTCCAGCGCCAGCACGTCGACACTGCCAGAGAGGCCAAGCGCGTCGAGTCCTTCTACAACTCCGTTCAGCAACCCGCCACCGCCGACGCTGCACATCACCACATCCGGCGCTCCCTCCCCCGCGGCGGCCATCTGCGCCGCGATCTCGCGCACCACGGTGCTGTTCCCCGCCCAGATGTCCGGGTGGTCGAACGGCGGCGTGTAGATCGCGACGCCGCCCTTCGCCTCGTGGGCCGCGATGATGGTGTCGCGCAGGTGCGCGTCGGCTTCGGCCCAGGCGGCGCCGTGGGAGACGACGGCGTGGGCGCCGGCGGCGTGGAGTTTGGCGATCATGAGGGGCTTCGTCGAGAGCGGGACGCAGACGGTGGCGGGTAGGCCGAGGGCGGTCGAGGCGTGCACGGCGGCCAGGCCGGCGTTGCCGCCGCTGGAGGAGAAGATGTGTGGGCGCGTGCCCGGGGGGAGGGTGGAGAGGGCGCGGAGGATGTAGTGGCCGATGCCTCTGGGGGAGTGTGTTAGGGGTGGGTGGGATGGAAGGGGAGAATATGCGCAAGGGAGAGGAAGAAGGGGAGAGTTGAGGGGTGAGTTTTGGCAAGGGGGGGGTCACATGACTTGTTTTGATGATATGGATGTGAGGTGATGCTTACCGGCTCTTAAAACTGCCGCTCGGCTGCAGGTTCTCTAGCTTGAGGAAGATTCTGCTTCTACGATTTAGAAGATCCGTAATGTGATGTGATGGGAGATGCAGGGGGAGGGGTGTGACCGTACCATCCCGCCGCCTTTGAGAGCGCGGCTGACTCCTTGAGGGGAGTCGTGATCCACGGCTGTGCGTGTTGTTCCTTTGGAGAGGTGGTGCCAGAGGCGGGGGGTGAGGGGGGTTGGATGGGGACGGCCATTGTGTAGAACTTCTTCAGTTGATGAAGCAGAGGGTGATGAGAAATGAAGAGTTGAGTTCAAGGAGATGCAAAACGAGATGGAAATGCGAGCGATCTCATCCTTTTATCCCTCCTCACAAGAAGTGGGACGCCGATAAGAAAAAACCCAAACACATCCCCGCAACCAGCTTTTCAAACCCCTCAAGCACAGCAATCGCAGCAAGGTCTAGCCGTATCTCTTACCCCATCGTGATTGCATGTTACCCTATAGTTTGGCGCGGGCTTACCCTATAGTTTGGTGTTGTGCCAGGGATCGGCTATCGGCGGGCATCTTTTGTGAGGCATGCGCGAGGGGACGCTAGGCGGGATGCGGTGCAGGGCGTGTTTTTTTGACGACATCTTCCGGCGTTGGGATGAGCACATCATGGACCATCGTGACGAGCTGCCGCCAACTGCTTAGGGGGTGTGGAGGACGGGTAGATGGGGATGGTTGCGGAGGGAGGGTGAGCTGTCGCATCCGCATTGACGGTTCTGTCGCATTCAACTCTCCGATGGACTTAATGCCGCAGGGTTTTGAGGGCACGCGTCCTACGATTTCGGCAGACCGTCGTATGCGACATCAAGGCGGCCGTGTGGAGGTCCGATGAAGGATGGGACGGATCCCTTGGGGAAGGAAACGAGACACAGGTAAGGCCTTGGCGAAATCCTTCGTCTCTTCCTCCTGAGGGGTCATGGATCGGATCTTGGGTTCAATCTGCTTTTTCAAAAGCCCCATTTCTTCAAGTTTCGGATCACCGCAAGCACTCGTAGCACGTGGAAGTGATTGGTGAGATGGATGAACTCCCTCGCTTACGGTGGAAGTAAGCGCTTCATTAAAATTCCGTCTTGCTGCAGCTGTGCCAAGACGCATCTCTGCTAAGCATCAGCGTCCCACGAACGACAATAGGCACTATTCATTTTCTTATTATCACCATCTTTCCTTCATGTTCAACCTAGCTTTGAATCATCACATGCTTAAAAGACGAAGGGTCTTGGGGACGAGTCACGTGGGTGTGGGTCACGTGCCGGATTCGTCCACCGCTGAGGTCTTGCGGTCTCCATGGATCAACAACTTCAAAGCATGGCTCATATGAGTTCTCTTCCATCCAAATTAACTTTTCGCCGAGCTTACCACAGCTTCTTATCGCACAGTACAGATGACCAGGAGCAAACACCTTGATTTACGAGCGCACATCCGAAAAGATAAAGACGCGTCGTCGGGCATTCGCGCAACGATGTGCATATTTAGTTTACTATCCTCGCAGCATCTGCTACTTTGACGAGTCTAAGCGAGATCGCTTGAGTTGCCTTACGTACTTCAATTTCGGGAAGATGATTCGATTTGAATCAAAGATCAGAGCGCATCAGCACACCACGACCATAAAACCAAGGTGTCCACAGCTCAAGAACTTGACAGAACATTCAGTACTCACACATACTCACAATCACTAACATCGTTCTCCGCATCATACAGCCACCGCTCGGTCACCATGGATTTCTCCTTCACCATGGATTTCTCCTTCACCACGATCACTTTGATGCCCAACCTCCCTCGACGTCTTCTTTTCGAAATCCCTCCATATCTCTATGACACCTCGTGTTTTGGCATCGATATGGCACACGGGCTCCGATATTATCACAGAGCCAAGTTGCAAGCGCGTTTCAACCAGTCCATCTGCGTTGACCCGACATCTGCGACATTCCGGGCCCTTAATCTCACCGAAATACTCGAGAATATCATCTTGCATGCCAGGACACCTCGCCAACTGTCCTACAAATGTATCAGCAAGCGCTGGGAAGATGTTATCGACAGCTCGCCGATGATAGAACACCGTCTCTGGGTACGTCGGATACAGCGTCGGGAAGATCTAACCGTGTTCAAGACCCGAGATCCGGAATTCGAAGAAATAAACCAATTGGGAGAATGTCGGACCTGCCACGAGCATCATCAGGTACTGAAATCCAAACATCTTATGGCTTCTCAACAAAGACAGCCGGCCTTGGCCTCAGTGGGTACAGTATTGCGTGTCAGATTACATTGCTGGTCAATTGACGACGACCGGGCCCCTTTATTCACTTTCGACAATCCTTTTTCCCTTTCGAATCTTACTGGGAGCCTCAACCCAAACTTGCGAACCGTGTCATGGCGTGAAATGTATCTAACGCTCCCGCCCGAATTGAGAGTCCGTCTCGGTACAACGACCTGGTCGCCTGCCACTTTTGGGGCTCGCAGCGTTGCTCGAACGAGACCCTAGAATCGTGAATATCGGTTTTTGAGTGTACAGGGGAGCCTCCTTCCTCCAGGGAACAGGAATGTCAATATCATTTTCACTCCGTACGGTTCTTTCACCAGGGAGTTTCAAGACTTTCATCAAAAACCGCGAACAGAGTTTGGACGAAACCATGACACCTTTCTTCATACATGCTGTATTAGAGCCGAAGGAGCAACTCTCATTCGATACTGGGGATTAACGTTTTATCACTCCATCGAGTATCAGATAGAGGAGTTTTTCGATTCCATGGTTGCGAGCGAACAAATATTTCGAAGGTTACCGCAGAATATTTTACGGTTGTAATTTGAGAGCACGAGACAGGCCTGCTTTCTCATTCCAAACCTAGAAATGTATTTTTCAATTTCATACTTTCCTTTCGCGAGAAGTGTCCAGTCCTTCGTGACCCAGTTGATGGAAAATGATTTGGACACCGTTGGACCCCTGGTTGCCGCAGTTCAAGAGCGGAAAGATAGTATTCCATTCGTGAATTCGAGATGCAGTTTTATCACTTCATGCAGTACCAACAGGAAGAGCTTTCGGAGGCCTCTATATCTTCATGCGAAAATGCAGTTCGGATGGTACCATAAATCGGTAACGCACTGTAGTCTTTCTCTTCAGCTCAGGTTGCAGAATTATACTTTTCAACTCCGTATAACCGATTAAGAAGGAGGTTTCAGGACTTCCATTAGAAATTGCCAAACAAGTTGTCGACGGGACCACCAAATCGTCTCGACGCATAAGCTTCAGGGCCACAAAGATGGATTCCATACACGAGTTCGGACACTTGTTTTATCAACTCATGTATTAGCAGTATGAGAAGCTTCTGGGAGGCTCCATGAATGGAATTGGCTAGGTATGTTAATCGAGGCGATGTGTACTCCCTGAAAACAAAGTTCACATCCGGGCACGCGTCTTGAGAGTCGAACCTTAGCGCGAGCTAAGTTGCATACGCGGAGGGATTACGGTGCTTGAGAGCAGAAATGGCTCTTCTGATACCAGATTGGGTGGCACTATCGGTTTATTCATCTCATGCCATGTCCTCATCGGGAATCATTCAGGGTTCCACGACCATGCGCGGAGAAAGATGTCGGACGAGCCCATGGCTGGTTTGCGGCAGATCGCTTCGCTTCCCACGGTCAGGCATGATGAACTTTGCATGAGTATTGCCAAGCGCATAAAAAACTAGTTTGCCGCCTTTAAGAGTGCAAGGAGTCCTACTCATGGAAGATCGAATAGCGCGGTCGTTATCCCACTAGATATAATCTTCGCACGTAAGCTTCTGCGCCTCCGTGGCGTCGCGCTGAAAGACGTGTGGAACGGGAACCATTACCACTTCGCTTCAGCTAGGTTTATTATCCAAGAATCCGCGTTTCAAACTCCCCGATTGAGGTCACCAAGAGCATAAGCTTCATTTCCGCGTCTTTTGAAACGGAAAGGACCCCTCTCATGAGTCTATCGGAAAAGCGCAGTGCACGGCTCCATATAGCGTTTGTAGGAGAAGATTCTAAGAACTTACATTGAGGTGGAAATGAAAAAGTCGAACAACCCCACGGATTGGTCAATTATCGTACGATTATATTCGCACGCTTGTTCTTGGAAACCCCGGACCTAGGCAGAGTGGGGATCAATCAATCAATCAACTTTGACGTCTCCAAGTTGATTTATTGCTTCGTTGAACAGGCTGTGATTGATTTGATTTGATTTGATTAATTTCTGAGATGCTCAAGTTGAGTTGATGAGATTGATACTTTTTGACCCCCAAGTTGAATTGATTGGTTTGATTGATAGATTAATAGATAAATTAATTACTACTTAGGAGGTTTAATGCCAATTCAACGCCAGGAGCGTATAGATTACAGAGCACTAAGTAACTCAGGCTTTATATTAAGGCGTCGTACGCCCAGGAGATCGCCAAGTTCGCTGAAAATTCTCTCACAATTAGCTAAGGAGGCTGGGATGGAGTAGATATCAAGGGCTAGCTGGCCTAGAATAGGATAGCGATCTCTTGTAATAACCCAGTACTAAATAGGGTCCTTCGCTAGTAGGTTGTCCTGTTTTAGAGTTAGCTCGCGCTTCCACCTCTTGTACTTGTTGTTAACAGTTTCCTCTATCTCCTGCTTGCCCTCCTCTATAGAGTTCCTAAGGAAGTCTGCTTAGTTGTTTATAGGGCTTATTTAACAGCGTTTTGCAGGCCTTATATTAGGAGACAAGGTAGAAGATGCTGCGCCAGCAGCCTTTGCAGCCACCTTATCCTTATATGCCTGCCACAGCAGCCGGAAGGAGCTATAGCTATTTAAAAGCCAGTTCTTATATAGATATAGCCTATTATGCTTTATATTATAATCCTTTAGCACCTTCTATAGCCCCTTAAGCACGTGTTTATATACTAGATAAAGTATTATAGCTATAAAATAGATAAAGGTGTCTTCTATTTTTCTATAGTAATCCGCGAGCTTTTTATAGGCAGTATTAATATTAATAACTAAGTAATCTTTAGGTGTATTTAGATTCTTATAGTTAATAGCCTTAAGCCTCTTCTTCTACTTCTTAAGGGCTAAGAGTAGCTATTTAAATATAATAAGAACTTCCTAAATAGCTCTATAGCTACTAGCTAAACCTCTGCCCTATAGCTATATTATTGCATTTTTAAATAGCTTAAGCAGCTGCTTATACTCTATAATTATTGCCTAATTACCTGTATTTAGCCCTTACTCCTTAATAAAGTACCGCGGTTTCTCCTTTTTTATATTTTTATACCGAGATACTGCTTTAATATTATATTTCTTAAGCTTTATATATATATACGCGTTAAAAGGGCCTTAGAGCTTATAGGCGCGCTTAAAGTAATTATAGTAAAAGTTTTACTAAGTTCTAATAGGCTTAATAAGCTTCTTTAGTTTATAAGATTTATTATAGCACTTTAAGTTTTCTACCTGCAGCTTAATAAACAGCTTTCGGGCTTATAGAAAGGCGCTAATAGATAATATAATATTAAATAGCACCCTAATAGGCCCGGCTTTCCTCTACTTTACTATTAGCAGTTCTTTTTCCTATATTACTATTAGTATAATATAGAATAGTAATAAGATTAAAGACGTAATTTTACCTATATATTTATATCTATACTTTTAAATACCTTTTTATCCTTACCCTATATAATTGCTTAGGTAGCTAAGTTAAGAATATAGCAGGTATAGTATAACCAACGCTGGGAGATGCTAAACTTAAACTTATTAGCTATTACTATTAAAGCAGTATTGTTATTTATAGTATTATTAAGTATAAAATAGCTAAGGCGCTTAGTATTAATTTTAAATAATTATAATATTAAGCTAACTATCTCTGCAATATTCTTGCCTAAGTACTAGCCTAGAAGAACAGGCAGGCCTAATAAGTAGTCCTCTAGCCGGCTATTTTTATTTAGATAATATATATATATCCTAGTAAGCGCACGCTTATTACTAACTAAAGTCTAATTATTAAATAATATATAGATAAGGCTAGTCGCCTACTAGAGGTGTTTAATTACAGCGGGTATATAGGAATTATACTTAGCTATAATAGATTCTCGGAGTGTATAATAGGTCTTCTATAGGCTTAATTTAGCAATAGGTCTAGCAGCAGCAATTATACTGCAGAAGGCAGGCTTCTTAATAACGCGTAAAGCCTAATTATTATTAGCAACCCAGTATTAAACAGCGCGTAGAAACTTCGCCCGATTAAAGCTGTCCGCCAGCTTATTGGCCACGTCCTGTGGAACATTAATGCCCTGGAACTGCATTATCGCCAACACTAATATCTGGTTTAGAGTAGAGAAGTTAATCTGGCCATCTTTATTAACCCTGTGGCCACGCTGTTGCCGCCCTAGGTGAGCCATAGCTAACGAAGTAGCCTTCTTAACGTTGAACTCGCCGCTAGGTATTCTGTATATGTGGCAGTACTTGCAGAGCCAGAACTTCTGGCGCTGCTTTCGATGGTAAACAGGCCAACCGTACGCGTAAATCCAGCTTGCTTTTGACGGTCGTAAGGTTTCGTAAGGCCTTCTCTGCAGATGCGGTACCCGTAGCCAATTGAGGTTCTCATATAGGTTGTCGTTGTCAACATCGTCGTCGTTCGTGGCAGGTGTTTCGACGTGTTCATTCGTGTTGACTTCGGCGCGCATAGAATTAACCTTACGGGGAGGTTTCTTTCGATTTGCGCGTGCGATAACTTCCTGCTGTACGTTCTGAAGGTTCTGATTCATTGCTAGGTGCGATATTGTACAGAGGTGGTATGGTGTTGGACGCGTTGATGTGAGTTAGGATGAAAATCAGGGTTAGGAGACTGCTTAGTAAGCACTTCTGCTAGGTGGGCTCTCTATAGGATACTCTATCTACGCTCCGCAAATAGGAATCAATCAAGCCAATCAAATCAATCAATTTGATGCCTTGAAGTTGATTTGATTGATAAAATCCACCTCTTCGGATTGATTGATTGATTTGGTTGAACCAAATCAAATCAATCAATCTATCAACTTAAGTTGATTGTTCCCCACTCTGGACCTAGGCCACCGGAAGCACAGTATTTCCTGAGGATCGTGCTCAAGAGCGGGAAGAAGCACTCTCATAAGACGTTGCTCTAAACGTCTTGCAAACTGTATACTTCATCCCCATTAGCATATCTGTGAAATCCCCGCCACATATTTCCCTCGACTACGTTCACTTGATATTGTCGAATGAGACCACATGGCCTTTCTCCCTGTGGTTTTTGAAGTTTTATTCACTGGACCTCTTTATAAGATTCATAGTAGTCGGGGATGAGATGTTTCAAACATTCATGCGCGGATCGTAGCGAACCTCATCAGTGAGAGCCTCAATCATGTCCGGTTGATCCTTTTTACGTCTCAGCCACCTTAGGTCCGACTGAGGATTCTCAAAAGCAGGAAGCGTTACATGTGACAAGTATATAATGTCAATTATTTTCCGGTCCCCCTGATTTTAGCCGGGGCATGCTTTTCCATCCGACATTTCATTTGTGGTTGACGGCGAAAATGGATTTGGTTTTGCAGACTTCATAAAAGGTTAGGCTAAGCCGTTCTCAAAGAACCCCGCGCAAGCTATATCTCGACCGTTTACGACTTTATTTCGCTAGAGTTTGCTTCTCAGAGCCATTTCTTTGAGATCCCTAGAACACGCTTGCTCAAAGCATATGAGAATGCCTATAGATGTTCTAAGACGTGTGCTTCTCATTTCGCGTTACAGGCGGCATTGTTGCAGGCTG